AAAAGGTTTGGGCTCAGTGCTGGAGCAGAGTGCCACGGGCTGTGGTCGTGCTTCATGTGTGAGAGTCTGTTTAACTTTGGAGCTTGAGCTCACAGTCTAGGCTAATACTTCAGTGCAGTGCTAAGGCAACAGTGCAATGTTGGAGGTGCCGTCTTCAGATGAGACTGTAAACCCAAGTCCCGTTTGCTTATTCACAAAGATCCCATGGTGCTGTTGCTGTTTCCAGAAATGCAAGACATTGCTACAAAATGTGTAATCATGAAACTTTACAGTAAATCCTGTGAAGCGCTTTGAGACGTCCTCCCAATGTGAAGGGCACAATTATTATTATTATTTGAAAAAGAGAAAGAAGTTTCTCCCTGTGTCCTGGCCAACAATCCTGAAGATAATAATAAAAAAATCATTCACTTTATGGTTGTTTATGGGATATTGCTGTTTGCAAATTGGCTTCTGTGTTCCATTACAAAATACAGTGACATTTTCAATTACAGTACTGTGGAGTTAGACATTCTGGACATTATAGGTACTAAACTAAATTCAAGAATAATGATCACACCTGAGGCTGATCCAGTTCTCACTGAAACCCACTGTCCACCAGGAGTCACTGAATAGCGAGTCTGGGGCCTGAAATTCCACCTGGTCTTAGCCTTCCTCCCGACGTGAAAGGCGCTATACAAATGCAATTAGTTGTTGTTGTTTTATGTTAAAACAAGAATTTTGGAACATTCCTAAATTCAGTTATAATTTGCAAACCACCTCTTGTTAATAACTCCAAAACAAAATCAGAAAAAATGAAGGATGAGTTTAAGAAACCTTCACTTAAAAAAAATTCTCACAGGCTCAGATTAGGTGGAATTTTAGGTCTCAGCAGGAATCCTGGCTGACCATTCCCAACCCCCACTCCCACACCCCCAGAATCATTTGAGTCCATGGTTAACCTCTCAATGCTGCTCCTGCTGAGCTCAGCTATCTCAGCACAGACAGGAGATCAAATCTTGGTTCAGTAAAAAAATAACATGCAATGTGGGCATAAGCATAAGGTCTGTTAGTGAGTGCATGTCTGTATTCATATAATAATAAACCTTATATTTGATATAGTGCCTTATCACATCATCGAGACATCTCAAAATGCTTCACAGGATGTAAAGTGATGTGACAGTGTGTATGTCTTGGGTGATTATTTTGTGCTATTAGGTCTTTGCCTAAAGGTTTGTCTATGAATGTATGTCTTGTCTCCATCTCTGGGTTGTTTGTGAGCTATTGGCTATATGTCTATCTATGAATGTATGTGTCTGTGTATGTCTCCAGGTCTGTTTGTGAGTGTGTATGCATATTTGTCGATCTGCCTCTGCTGAAACAAAGCATTCGCTCCGATGATGTAAGGAATTCATTGACTGACTTTCAGATTGTCTTTCAACAAACATGTAATAATAACGTTTCCACAATTTTCTGTCAAATATTCCGTAACAAAAAAAATGATATGCCAGTGAAGTACATAACAGTTTTTCATTACTTATCAGTGGCTCTATGGGGTGCTTTTGATAGGTACATTTATTTGTTTTATGGCCATGCTGGAATGATTTATTACGCAACTCGCCGGGAATAACAGGAGGAGGAAGCAAGCCAGCAAAATTCAACTTTTTGCAATGTGTTCCAGCTGTTCTTCTTAAGCAGAAAACACTGGCAGCAGTAAATTCACCCCTGGTGCAATCTTAATAGCATTGAAATGGGCTCAGGTTTCTTTGAACCATCATATATCTGGCTGTTAATGTTATTATCTACATTACAGCTACCCGCCCTCCCCCCTCTCTCTCCTGGGTTTTGAAAATCTGCAAATATTTTCAATTTTTATAATAACAGCAACAACTTGCACATAGAGTAATACCTTGGAGCACTTTACAGGGATGGAGTTATTATAATAATATTAATCCTTGCATTTGATATGGCGCCTTATCACCTCATTGAGATATCACAAAGCATTTTACCGGATATACTGGAAAGTGGGTTGGCTGTGTATTTTGTGGGTGAAACGCAGCTGCCATTAGTGCCATTATGTCTCACAAACAGCCTTGGAGTGAATGACCAATGTTTATTGGATGACAAGTGAGGGAGAGGGTGCAGAGGGAGGGGGCCGTAGGTGTGTTGAAAGAGATAGGAGTTGAAGTGGAATGAAAATGTCAGTAAGGAATGAGAACATCTACCAAAAAAAATGTATCACGATGATCTTTACATTTGATACAGACTCTTTCAAGAGAATATCTCAAAGATATATGTACAAGCCATATGTATTGTAAAGTGTAGTGACTGTGGATTTTGCAGGTGAACATGGCAGCCAATTTACGCACGGCAAACAGCCAAAAATTGAATCACTAATTCTATTTGAGGGATTGATGGCCAGGACACCAGGAGAAACTCCCTTCACTTTTCAAATAGTACCAGGGGATCTGCCTGGACAGGTAGACAAAACCTGGGTTTAACGTCTCGGATGGCGCTTTCAATAATACAACACTCCCACAGCACTGCATTGGAGTGTCAGCCTAAGCTGTTCAAAGTCCCTGTTGTAATTGCGGAGACTAGTGTAATAGTACGCTTGAAATCTTCTCAAGACTTTCTCTCTCTCCCCTCCTCCACCTCTCTCACTGGAAGATTCTGTCCAGCGTCCTAAAGATTTTATTAGGAATGATTAAAGGTAGAAATATGAGCAGTTACAATTCCGACAGCCGTATATTTTAATAACCTGTCACAGACCTAGCGTGAATTTGCAGCTCTCTGGCTTTACAATATAAGAATATAATTAAACTTTTACAAGTGTTTGCGTGCAGACTTACCCTTTGATAACCTCCTGCTACCAGCTCTCAGTCCCGTAACAAATTGCCAATTTAAAAAATTCATTTACATTTACACTGCTAGCAAGCAGAAGAGATAGGGGCCAGGTTAAAACGCTTCACAAATTGATAGACCACACTTAGAGCAGGGGATGAATAGAGGAATAGTTTGCTGAGGAAATTCAGACGTCACAAATTTCATGAGATCACAAGAATTATAAATTTGGATGAAGAAGGCCCTTCAGGCCATTTGGTCTCATCCCTTCAGAGTAGCCATCCTACCATCTACCCATTATAGCAACAAGCTGATTTAGAAATGAGTCCAGTGTCCTAACCTTAACCACCCTTCCCTAGTAACCTGTCCAGTCACTAACCTCCCTCTGAATAAAGAGGGTGATGTCTAGTCTTCTTTGCAACTTTAAATCTGTGTCCTCTTTTTCTGCTGTCGAGGTGCAACCCAGAGAATTTCTCCGAGTTTACTTTTTCAATCCCATTTACAATTGTATACACCTTTATATCATCCCCCCTGAGTCATCTTCTCTCAAAACTGAAGAGCCATGTAATCATTGCTCATAGCTCATTCCTCCAACACCCTCGTTGCTATTGTCGATGCTGTTCTGGAGCCTGGTTTCCACTCCAAACCTGCAGAATGACGTTTCATCCAAAGGATGACATCTCCAACAATGCAGCACTCCTCCAGCACTGCATTGGAGGGTCAACCGATATATTGTGAGTTCAAAGTCCAGGAGTGGGGCTTGAAACCACAACGTTATGACTCAGAGACAAAAGTGCCACCGACTGAGCCAGTCTGACACCTAAAATATAACCTGTGGCATATGTGATCTGTGATCTATTCTCTGGGGTTGTTTTAGAATTTGATGTGTGAAAGCTGAATTGAATCCCAATGTCTACGGTCTGTGGGTCTTCGCTTCTGTGTGTGTGTGTGTTTGTTCCAAATTAGTTGTTGTTCAGACAGAAATGGCACCAGTGTTGCGTAACATACAAACAGAAACCGACATTCCTGCTTTACACCAAATGTTCGCCTCGTCGAATTCAACAGAGAAGGTTATTATCCCCGAGGTACACAGTGATCGGCCACGGTCCCCTGGGATATATTTCAAAGCTATGTAAAAGTGGCCTCCAGTTTAATAGCTTCCACAGTGAAACGTGGCAGTGCCTCGTGAATTTTTAAAAATGGTGATAAAGATTCGCCGTTTATTTCACTTGGGTCGACTTATCTGTGAGGACGATAGTGTGGAAACCACATTGGCAGCCGCTTTATCTTTTCCAGAAAATATATCTGTCTGAAAGCTTTGTCGGATTTACATATGGTTACATGGAATGGAAACATTCCATTCGGACCAACTAGTCCATGCCGGTATTTATACTCCACCCAAGCCCCTACCCCTCCTATTCCCCTCTATTCCCTTCTCGCTCATGTGTGCATCAAGTTTTGTCTAAATACCTCGATGTTATTTACTTCAACTGTAGCTTCTGACAATGAGTTTCATAATCTCACCATCCTCTTAGAAGTTTCTCTCTATTAGATCCTCTACTGGTTATCTTATATTTATGCCTGCTAGTTTTGGTCTAATTCAGCAAGTATCACGATACTCCTGGGAGAAGTTCCTCCTGGTCTAGATTTTACTCGATTGGAACAGCATTTCACAACATCCTTAAATTTTTAAGCCATTTCTCCTTCAAGTTTTTTTAAGAAACTACACAAATCAGGCGTCCAAGTTAAAACAGAACTCAACAATTTGCCACCACTCTGCACACTTGCCCTAATGATAATAATAATCCTTGCATTGATATAACACATTATCACATCATCGAGGCATCTCAAAGCGCTTCACAGAATATAATTGCTGTGCGCAATTGGCTGCCGCGTTCGCCCACACATATACAGTCAATTCACTTTACAGTGTGTTCTGTGAAGCGCTTTGGGACCTCCTCCCGACGTGAAAAGCGCTATATCAAATGCAAGGATTATTATAATGTAAAGTGAATTGACTGTATATTTTGTGGGTGAAATGATGGAATTTGGTTGGCATGATATTAATTTATGGGTAAGAAAATATTCCAGTAAATACAGGGATCTTTGCACCTGGAAGCTAATCACCTACTTTGTTTTCTTCCTCCTCCTCCTTCTCCCTGCACACTCATCGCCTCAAGAAAACTAGCAAAGAAGCGGAAAGAGACACTGAGCAGCACAAGGCAGGAGATGACTGTCATGGTCAACTCCATGGACAAGAGTTACACTGAGCAAGGCACCAATTGCGATGAAGCGTTCTCCTTTGTGGACACCCACAATCTCAATGGTCGGGGTGAGTCACCGAGACATCTGTTGCTATGACCAGGACTGAATCATTCCCTTATGCAACCCCAGGTTACATTTACACAGTGCTTCTCACATCAGGAGAATGTCTCAAAGGGCTTCACATAGTTGACCGGGAGCTCGAGCTGAGGAAGGAGGGTGGTTGGGAAGTGCGGGTGGGGGTGAGAAGGTGATCAAAATTGCAGTTGAAAAGATCTTTGGGTCTTAAAGGATGGAGGCAGTGTGGGGATGGGGGGGGTAATGTGGTCCAGGTGGAGGACAGAATGGCTAAAAGCTCACCCACTGACGATGGGGTGGGTGAGGGACATGAAGCAGATCAGTGTTCTCTGAATAGAGGGAGCGACTGACGAGGTAGGAGTGTACGAGGTTGCAAAGGTAGGGTTGGGCAAAGCCTTGGAGGCACTTAATCGTGAGGACAATGATCTTAATTTTGAACTGATTTCCTCCTCCTTCCCCGGCCTGGTCAGTGGGTAGTGCTCTCGATTCTTGGTCAGCAAATCGTGGGTTCAAACTCCACTTTGGGAACTTTGAGCTCACAGTATGACCCTTCAGTGCAGTGCTGGGTACGTGTGTGTGTTGGTGGGGGTTGGGAAAGGAAGCTCTGTGTCAGAGGCGTCATCATTTCTCAGGTCGACATTAGCAATCCCATTTTGAAAGGTGAAAAGAGATTCTCACGGTGACTTGGTCAACAATCCTCCAGGTAAAATTAGTCATTCACTTCATGGCTGTTTGTGGCAAAAAAAACAGTAACTGTACTCAATAGCAATTGCTTGTGAAGCACTTTTTAATGTGATGAGACCCTATTGAAGTTCTTTTCTCCTTATCAGCCATATCTTCACCCTCCTCATTTACCATGAAGTCAAGCACCCTGAAGAGCTCATCAGTACAGAACTACTACCCAGGTAGGGAAGGTGCTTTTACTCCGATTTCATATCTTTGTTTCACATCACAGCTTCTGTCTTTTGCTCGATTGGGTGGGGAGGGCTTTACTGTTGAATTGAGGCTTTGCGCTTTGGTAGTGCGGTTGTAATTGGTTTCAGGATCTGCATTGGCCATGGGATGTAAGGACAGACTTCTGTGAGGACTGTTTCTGTCTGAACGGCACTGAGGACTTTTCCCAGGCACTGACCCTTTATCACCCCCGCATTTCACCAGCAATGTGACGTGGGATTCGTTGAGATACGATCAGGGAACAGAAAACTCAAGCTGCCAATTCATTCGCACGCAGCAGACTAGCGAGTGCGTTATAGTTGGTCTTCTGAGTCTCTGATGAGCTCAATGTATTATTGCGTTTTGACATGTGGAGCCGTAAAATAACCCGGCCTTTCATAATGTGCCTCACTTATTAATTAACTTCTCGTCAATTGTGATAATTAAACGCCAGTAAACAGGTTGTGAAGAGTTGGAAATTGAGCCACAGGAATTTAAAACGTCCTCGAGTTTCACTGATATCACACGGGGTGGGGAGGCAAGCTCACTACCCAAGCTGTTAGGCCACATGTAAAGCCTGAATTAAGGAGAGCGCAGCCCAGAATCATGGCCCCGCTGCTGCCGATTCGCTTAGAACCGTATTACATCTTAGCGCTGTGGCTATCAGGATTAAGCATGTGGCTGCACCTCCTCGTCAAGTTGACGGGCCAAGCTGGCTGGTTTAGCCATCGGCAAAGGTTTAAATTAATACTGTTTTTTTCCAGAGATGGTCCATTTGCACTCATCGTTCTCTTCTCCTCCCTCCCCCCCACCTCGTTGATTAGGTTGAGACCTGAATTCACACTGTAATTGCCAATCGACGAGCCAAGTTATACAATGTTGACCCCCCCCCTCCCCTTCCCAGCCAAGTCAGGAACGCCCATCACTTTCCTGTCAGCTTTCACTGCTTGTGTTCCCAGCACTGGAGGGAATAAGTATAAGGTTCACCTGATAGGAACCTCTTTAGGAGGCAGGGAGTGGGGGTGTGGGCCTGAATTCACTGAGGTTTTTTGGGGGGAAGGTGGCAGTGAAGTTGATGTGAAGGGAGTATATATTCTTTGGGGTTTTTTTGGTCTGCCGAGTGACTGACACACTAACACACAGTGACTGAAACATGACCGTTCGTCATGCTTAAGAGGATCCGAACCTCACGTACACCTACACACGGAGAAATAAAATGCCGCCAAGTGTGTGAATGTATTTTCTTTAATCTCCAGCCCAGATAGCCTTCACTTCACACTGAACAGAGCAAATCTGTCGCTGACGGCAGGGCTTTTTAAAAGCTGCTTTCACACTTTCTCCGTCTTCTCTTTTGTGCTTCCCCTTAAACGATATAAGCCTGTCTCCAGGATACAAGCCTACTTTGATTTCACACACCGCAGCCAGTCACGTGTGTGTCAGCCTCACCGCATGCCAATCCTTGCACAAGCCAAGAGCTCGCTCACTCATTCGCTCGCTCGCCAATCCAGTGTTTATCTGCTTCTCCATTTATGCATATCCCAGTTTGGGGGGAGGTGGGCAGAGTGGGAGAGGGGGGAGTGAGAGACATGAGAGAGAGTGGGAGAGGGTGGAAGAAAGGGACAATCTTGTGGTATTTCTTAACAGATGTAGATAATCTGATAATCAGAAGGTCGCCTCACTCACTTGGTGGAGCCCTTTCCCCTCCCTCCACCACCACTAAAAGTGGGTTGAGTTAGCACCACAGACATCCAGGTTTCTTAATTTAATTAAGAATTTAATTAAGAAACCCATTCAGAAATATTGCAAACTAGACCCCAGTGTTTGTTACCATCCTGCTCCAGCACATATTTTTATTAGAAAAATAAACATTGCTTTTTTTTATTGTTCCATTCTAACACACTGTGCGTTAATGTAAGTGCCTTCACAACTGGAAGCAGCTTTCTGTCCTCTGGTTCCCACTTGAATCAGAGTCTCAATTGCAGTGAGCAATGGGGAAATGGCACCAAGCCAGGAACCATTGGGATAGAGTATAGTGGGTAGTTTGGCTGGGTAGAGATATGGATTGCAGTGAGATGCCGTTTTGCCCGCATCTCAGCCAAGTTAACTTCCTTTTTTGGTCAGACAAGTGTCTGACACACGCGGAACCCCATCACCATGTTTATGAGTAGTCAAGCCAAACTGAGAGCTCCATGCATCCCATCTATACACTGAAGTCCCTGTGTATTGGAATAGAATGCACACTTTGTCCCCAGAATGATGCACCCTGCTTACCCAATTCCAGAGAGTATTAGGCACAAGTTGGTAAAAGCCAAGGCTTGGAGACCCCAGAGTGTGCATTGGGGTAACTGCTGAATTTTAACCATGTACAACTGCAAAGCTTGCCATTGAAAGCACTATCTGACAAGCTTCCTGCTGCTTGTTCAACTACATTAACAACTTGCATTTATATAGCACTCTTCACAAGAGTCTCAGAGCACTTAACAGTGGTGGAGCTTGATACTGGTGCCAAATTTAATTATCAGAGAGAGGTCCTTTATTAGAGGGAAGAGAGGAGGCCTTGCAGGTTAATGACATCCAGGTAATACGATCGGTAACTCAGCAAATGACGGACATGTTTTGAGAGACACATTTCCTGCGTCGTTAGGGATTTAGCAAAAGCGTAACAAAAAAAGGCCATTTGACCTATCACACTCATCCCTTCTCCATGCACTGGGCTTGTAATGCCATCTGGGTCTAGGTGAATTCTGTTTTTGTAGCATTTACAGTGTCCAGAATTCTGCAAATTCTTAAACTATGAAGTTTCTTTTAAGAAACTACAGAAAACTGGCTTTGAAGCTTTGAGACTGAACTCAACAATTCAACAAATTCTGGACACTCTGAAGCCTAGTCCCAGGTGGGATCTCGACCCCACTACGCAGCCCGCCCTTTGTGGACTTTGCTTTGCCTAATCAGTTTCCTGTGAGGGTTTTACTTCATAAGTAATCCTGACCTGCTGGAACAAACATAGACTATTCAGCCCATCAAGCCTGCTCCACTTTTTGTTGTTGGTTTTTTCTAATCCCATTTCTCCACTTTTCCTCCATATCCCTCAATACCCTTACTTCTCAAATACCTACCTCTCTTCCTCCTAAACTCCTCGATTGACTCTGGCTCTCTGCACCCATGACCCATTTAGAGTTTTTTTTTCGCAACAAACCTCACAAACTCTGGGTTTGAAGAAATCAGTGAATCGAATTCGAGATCCTTGTCCTCACGCTCAAATCTCTTAAATCTCACCCCTAGCTCTGCGACCTCCTGCAACCTTACCACCCTTTGCTTTGCGAACACCAGCCTGCTTCATCTCCCCTGCTCAATCAACCCCCACCCCACTATTGCAGGCGAGTTTTCAGCCATTCTGCCCTGCTCTCTGGAGCTCTATTCTGAAATCTTACCAACTCACCCCCTCCCTTCCCACTTTTACAGCTTACCTTAAGGCTTACCTCTTTGACGGTGCTTTTGGCCAACTTTGCCATCCCTCCACCCTCTTCAACCCCCCCCACCCACACACACAAAGACACACACACACACATAGACACCTGACTCGGGTGCCAAGCCAGTTGTGTGAAATGCTTTGAGATGTCATCCTGATGTGAAAGCTGCTATATAAATGTAAATTGCATTGGATTGTGAATGTTTCCTCGGATTCATTTTTAAACCAGCTCAGATCTAATTTCTTAAGATTTTGAAAATAAAACTGCAGAATATCTGTCCCTATGTCTTAATTTAACTATCCAGACAGGCTTTATAGTTGTATATAGTTATAATTTATAGTTACCCCCTCTTCCACGAGACCAGAAGACCCATCCCATGACTGTTGAATCCCTTTCCAATGGGTCAGACCTGAAAGAACTGGATAAGCACTTGAGGGAAACTAATATTATAAGGTATGGGGAAGTAGCATGGGCTGAGATTAGAGCAGAGAGCATCAGTGCAGAAATTATTTTCACTGGTCAGTGACTCAGTGACTGGAGGGCATCAATTTAAGATAGCTTGCAAGATAGCAAAGAGGGAGATTAGGAGGATTTGCTCTCGTAAGGTAAAGTGGATTCTGCCTCGACTACCACACCACTGTCAGATCAAGGCAGAATCCACATTATCTTTCGAGATCTAAAAAGGAATAAATTGCAGGTGTGTGTGTGGCGGGGGGATGGGGGTGGATGGAAGGTGATGCAAAATGAGACTGAATGGATTGTTCTTTCAAAGAGCCAACACAGACAAGATAGGCCATACGGCCTTCTTCTGTGCTATAAATATCTAAGGCTAGAATCAGAACAGACAATATGTGCTGCAAATATTCTCTGCCTCTAGTACATTCAATGAATTTCTTACAACAAAGTATATTGTTAACTTAGTGCCAGGTTAATCTGAAGTAAGCGCAGTTGTTAATACACTGAACTGATTCTCTTCACTCCAAATACCTTGGATGCCATTTGTTGGCATCTTCCATTGCATTGTCACTTCTTGCTTATTTCAATAGATTTGTTTTCATTGTTTCCCACTGGTTGGTTGGCACTGTATTTCATTCCCAGTTCCTCTCACTCACTGTCTCAGTCTCACCTGACATCAACCATGCACATGTGCACATTTTAGATCATTTTGCCGCCACACACGTCAGGCACCCTCTGAACGGACAGACAGCAGAGCCCTCTGGTAACCTCACCCGTTCTCGTGTTTGAGCCCGGCATTCGAGGGCGGAGGTCATCACAACCTAACCTGATACTGCCCTTGCCCAACATTCACATGTGCTCACGTATCACCTGAGTTGACTTTTTTAGTCCCATTTAAAATTATATAGAGTTAGGGTTAGGGTTTGTTGAAAGGCAGCAGGCACTGCCCCCAATCATTAGACTAATGCCCCAGCCCCAACAATCTTGTTAATGGAGAGGTTAGACAAAATGTCTCACCAAAGGGTATTAAAACATCGTACTCTTAA